CATGTGCTTTGAGCAGGAGAAAGCTCAGCCAGGGTATAGTGTGACTGGATTTCCATAGAGCTCCCGGAGCCCGCACAGCAGGTCAGCCCTTGGGAAGCATCCTCTTCCTGCTTATGCCAATGTATCTGCGACAGCAACGTTCCTGAACCCCTTCAGGAGGAAATATTGAAGCTTCTAATTAAAGAGCTGCATTAAAGTGTGGATTTTTTAAGAGGCCTTTAAAAAGAATTCTCGCTTTTATTGGCTGTTGAGGAGATTGTCTTGCATGGGTAGGGCAGAGGAAGTGGAAAAATCTGTGAGCCTTTGGAGGTCTCCATAAGTATCTGTACACATCGGGAAGGGCTTTTTGAAGGCACATGTTATTTTTTGTCTTACTCTTACAATGGCTTGAGAAATACGAGGAACCTTCTTTCCCTTCTCCAGCAAGTCCTAATAAGCATCACGCGGTTGGTTTTGGGCACTGCCTGTTTAGTCTTGGTCATGAATCACATCTTCACAGCCCTCGTGTTGCAGGTGTAAGAAAGATGTCACCTCCTTGCCACGTTCACACATCACCCATGAGGATGGTGCAGGTAAACCCTGCTCAAGGTACATACCAACCTCCTGCTAGAGCCTTTCATTAGAGCTTCATATAAACCTGAACACACAGAGCAATTTCTGCTTCCTCACAAGTGCTCATTCGAATTCCTATTTTCTAGCCTAAATTTATTTAAGCCCAGTCTATTTTTACCACTATTTTTCCAAGCCACTATTTTACCTGTTCACAGACCCCCTGTTTTATTTGTAGGGTCACATCCCCTCTCCACTTTTCCACTTTAAAGCACACCAAACCGCTCTGTTCTCCTCTCCCAGAGGACCTCCCTGCCTGCCCATCCCAGCAGCCATGCCCTCCACCATCAATCTCTCTGGGTGCTGACAAGGACCGTACGGAGGAGATCAGATGGGTCTCACCATCGACTTGTACACACTAACATTCCTCATGCTCAACCAGACCTACCTCCCCTCCCGCTGTGTTTTAACGCCACATTTATCTTCTCCACCGTGGTGTCATGTTAGTGCTTGCCATGTTTCATCTGAGAAGGGAGCGCTGCCAGCTCAGCCTTGCTGACACTGAGCCTCGCACCAGATGCAGAATGGATGTTGGGAACTTGCTCCAGTGCCAGGGAGATGTGTCAAGTGAAGCCAACCCCAGGGCAGTGACTGTGAAGACACATCTGGGTTTCCTTGGGCTGCCCACCATACGTGGTCACAAAGGGAACATGTTAGGAGTGATTTAGAGTGTTGGCATTAAACAGCATCTGGGAATCTACACACAGAAGACGAGAATTGAAAAGCAGCTGATGCTTCTTCAGGGCTATATGAGTTTTGAGGCTGAATTGGATTCTTGTCCCATTAGTCACATTACTTAGGATTTAGCCCTAATTAAGTAGCTGTTCCTCAGACACATTAAAACAAAAGAGGCAGAAAAAAGGAAGGAAAAGGAAGTAGTCTCACCACCTTATCCATAAAACATGAAGGTTATAAAGGTGACTTAATGTATTACAAGTCAGAAAATAATGCCCTGGTGTAACAAAGTCATTTCTATTTCAGCCTTTGGACCAGCTAATGAGAACTTCCCCACCTTCCAGCAGGGTTGAAAACTGTAACCTCCACTGGCACCACTGTTACGGTATTTAAAGAACACTTCCACATTCCCACAGCTGAACTTTATCCTCCTGTGAACTGTCTGCTCACAGTTTTAGTGCATGTGGTCAACAAAGACTTTCGAGATGGTGCAAGACCAAATGTGCAAAGCCACAACACCCCCAGCATCCCGCTGCAGGCTGTGGAGCTGCAGCGTGGCCCACACAAATCAACCTCAGCCCCTCCTCCTGGTGAACAAGCAATGAAGCTTTCAGAAGCCCTGAGGAGCTGCAGAAGCTGAAGGACTAACCACAGACCCAAGAAGCAGAGCTGAAGTTCTCCAGCCCCTCCAGTCCATGTTGTACCCGAGGACAGTGGGTCTCTGGAGGAAACCCAGCTGCCTTGAAGAGCCCAACTCAAGTCAAACACAAGGATACTGCTTGGGAGCTGGAAACTGTCACAAACTTCCCAGTCCCATGGCAAAGCACACCTTTGGGCCTGCCTTCTCCAACGGACACAAAACCCCACAATGAACACAAAGATCTACATCCCAACCAAAGAGGAAAACTCACTGAACCTGCAAGGTTCTCCTCCTCTGGCCAGGACAATGAAAGCTCAGGCAGGTACCAGCAGGTATCAACCCCACTGCGTAACGTAGCCACTGTCATGGTAGATCTTCTACAGCACAAGACAGATCTTTGCCTAGATGCTGGGATGCCTGGGAATGCTGCAATATATTTCTTCATGGCTTTTAGAGAGGTGTCTTGACCTCAGAGGTCTCCAACGTCTCCTGGGGCTTGTCTGGGAACAAGGTCTCCATGGCATGCCAACTGTATGGGTGGGAACAAGGAGATGAGCCCACCACCCCACTTCACCAGCAGCACACGTACTTGTTTCCAAGGGCTTTTGGGCATTACCTGGGGGTTTGTTCTGAGGATCTTGTAATCCTCACAATAACACAAGGAGGCTCCAACTGCAACGTGGACCTGTTTAGCTTGGACTTGCCAAACCAGATGGTAAGAGGACAATTCCTGTCCTGAAAACAACTAAATGTAAACACACCGGACAAAGATCAAGATTAGGATGTATCACAGCTGTGTTATAGGCAGAGTGTGGAAGAATTTTGGCAGCTAATTCTGATTTCATCAACGCTCTCCGGGGATATCACCTTAAAACAACTCATAAGGAGCCTTCCAGCAGAACCTGAACTAGGACCCAAATGTCTCAATTACAAATCCAATGTCTTAATTACAAGTCCCCCTGCAATACCGGCGTGTCCAAACGCTGGTCCCCAGACTTCCCTACTACCCCACAGTGCAAACATCGATAGCACATAGACTTTTAGCCAGTGTTCTGTTAAAAAGATGTATGTTTTCTCACTAAAAATGGCAAGAAATAAATGCTAAAAATGTGTCATTTCGTATTTAATATGATTGGCAGCAATTTTTCTTAAGTCTGGTGATTTTCAGGTTACAGTTTGCAAACCCCAGCAGGACGCTTTAGTCACATAATCTTAGAGCAAGGAGGGATCTGACCTATTACAGTAACAACAGTTCTAACTATCCTTTAGTTAAAAAAATCATGACTTCTTTAGCTTGAGTTGGATAATTATCCACAATTATGAGGAGAAAGAAGTATTTAAATCTGAATTACACACGTGCTAGGACCTTGGACATCTTACACCCAAGGTTTGGTCCTCCTCCTTTGACCTGAACGTGATTTAGTTCAATGCATATTAATCAGCCTGTGTTCATTAACACACTTCTCACTGAGCTACTTTGTCAGGAAACTCTGCTCCTTTGCTGATGCAATTTGCCTCGTGCAATTGCAGTGCTACTAAGAAAACAGTTCTGCACTTTGCCACTTCTGCTGAGGCTCGTTTTGCAGCTTCATAGGGAGCGACTGGGTGGTCCATGGGAGGTTTTGCCTGCAGTGATTCACCTCTCTTTATTGCTTGGAAGTCAGAAGCAAGAGATCTGATTTCCACCAGCCCTTAAAAAATCAGGGGATTCAAAAATAATACAAGTTTGGCATTTTCTGGTCTGTGGGTGGAATCATGAACCTGACACGGTTTTAGCTTCAGTTACACTGACTGAGGCTGGACGCTCACACCAGCCACTGCCCAGCACCAGTGTTAAAACCAGGTTAAGGTTATACCCTGTTCGAGGAGGGCTGAGCACCATGAACCCCGCTTTGCAAAAATAAACCTCAAAGAAACTCTCATTTCAAAGTCAATTAACAGGAAAACAGATGATTTTTCAAACGGGTGCCTCCTTGCAAACAGTTTTGAGGCAGTTTCTGCATGAGGTGGTTTTGAGGCAGTTACTACACAAGGTGTATGTTATTTCAATGACATGGCCAGCCAGCACTGAGGGTGGCAGTCCTGGGTAATGGTTGGACTTGATCTTAAAGGTCTCTTCCAACCTGTATGATTCTATCATTCTATGAAGCTTTGTCATCTGAGCAGCAGCTCTGCTCCTGCGAGCGCAGCATCCCCCGGGGTTAGTGGATCCTTTGCAATTCAAACTAGTATTTGCCTTGGCAGACAGAGCACATTTACCTAAATCCTTCCTTTTCTGCATGAAACCTCCTAAGCTTCTGTGTCTTCCTGCTCTCCCGGCCCTGGAGCCACCCTGGCTCCTGGCGGGAAGTTTAACTCAACATGAATTTCTCATGTTGGATGAGCCAGGTTGGACACAGGGCTTGGAGCAACCTGCTCTAGTGGAAGGTGTCCCTGACTGTGGCAGGGGGTTGGAGCTGGATGAGCTTTAAGGTCCCTTCCAACCCAAACCATTCCCTGATTCTATGATTCTCAGGCAGAGATCTCTGATCACCGTGTGCTCACTGCCCTGGGAAGTGAAGGGGGTACATGCCTGATGCTGGTGCTGGCGATTTGGGCTAAGCCACCGAACTCCCCTAAGTCTTATTTCACCCACGTACAAAGCAGGTGTGTGGGTTTTGGACCTCCTCTGCACCCACATTTGGGGGCAAGGACACCAAACCCCTCCAGGAGAGCATCACTGCTCCTTCCCCATCAGCTGCGTGAAGAAGGAGAGTTTCTTGCACCCATCTCTCAGTAATTCCACCCTTTGCCATGCCAGGCTTTGCCCTTCTGCACTCCTACCACAACCACAACTCAACTGTATCTCCACCACCATCCCAACCTCTG